TAACTTAAGACATGTGCCATAACGACATGCAGTGTCATGGCATGACATTTACACGGCTAACCTGTTTGGCTTTCAGAGAAATGTAAATTACTGACGGCCACACCGTCAGATGTCTTACAGAACATAGCCAGCCTTCCTGCAAACAGACTGTCTGTATAGCGACTTGATACGACCGGGGAATTAGGGTTCTAGAAATTCTGCTCTTCTCCGCAGCTTCCAGATTGACACTAAGGCCCATCCAGTCCCCTACCAATTAGGTTCCGGCGCTCTTTCCCCGGGATAATGCGGCTGGAGTGTGAAGCTGACCACTCAACTTCGCCTAGTGCCTAGATGCAGAATGCTAGTTGATACTACTCTATTGACACACAAGTTTTAGTGGCACGGTGATTTGCTAATTCAACAAAGGAAAACCGTTTATTACTGCCTAATTTCCAGTAAAATCTCTGATATGTTAAGCAAATATTACAACTTATTTCTTACAAAAGACATATCTAGCACATTTCTTAAGTTGCTTATCCACTGAACGTACAGAATTTTACCAGATGTTAGTAAGTATCTGTTAGTGAATAAAATTCATGGAAAAACACAAATGCCAACAAGCGGCGTTGCACATGAAGAAATATTTCCCGGACGGATTCGCGTTTAGCGCGGCTCATGCCTGTCTTCAGTGGAGCCGCCTTCTAGATAGAAAGCCTATAATTCAGAGACAAATAAAAGGGGCAAAGAGTACGCGGTATTCATTGGAACTGCACAGAGTAATCTAACTAAATAATTTAGAAATTTTTACGTACTCTTTATGCATCGGTTTCAGAAACATACGAAACAATGTTCTAAAAGTTATTTCCTCTATAATATTCATATTATATTTGAAACTTTACTTTATACAACAGAGGTCTCGATAGCCATAAAACACTATGGAAACGACTACAAACCTTCGCAAATAAGTCATTCGTTATTTGACTTACATGTTCTCCATAGTGGATTTAATATCACAATGTGTGCTTTAAAACTCTGTATTTAGGAATGCAACACTGCAAAAAGTGAATAAATGAAACACAAACACTTTTTTTTTACTGCATGAAAGTTTGCAACATTTGAATTGTACTGTCAGCGAAAATGTTATGCAGTAAGAGCACATCGCGTCAACTGATCTACACAGGAAATTGGAAATTTAAATTTCGCTAGCAAACTTAAATGCTTTTTAATACCTGATATCCTCTAAATTAAAAATTGGGACAATTTGCGTTCCGGAAACATTTGACGGGGTACAATGGGACGAGCATATGTGTACCCTGCTTCTCGTGCCTCCGTTATGATGATAACACTTCTGCACTAAGATTGTCTGCAGTTTTTCTCTTCTCCTTTTGCTACTTGATGACTACCAAAAAGAATAAAAACTTCTAAATCTTCTGAGGATATCCTGCAAACTTTCTCAGTTCAAAATTTCAGCGTCTTCTTTTAAATGAGTTAAATCAAGAAAATTTATTGCCATTAAAATTATGTTTCCAATCTTTTGTTCTTGTACATTCAATAGTGAATATATAACTAAAAATGTGGCAGCTGCAATTACATTTCTTGCAGCATGGACCAACTGAAAATTCTAGAAAACGTGCAAAAAATGGTTTTTCGTTATATGCTACACNAATAATAAATAAATAAATAAATATATATATATATATATATATTGTGACATGTAAACCCATTGCCAAGTAACGGGTTGCTAAACAACTTTCCGCCAAGACAGATTCTTGGCAAACAGCCCGTTGCTAGGTTACGCAACAATAGAGGAATATCCGTAAACATTCTCACGAGAACAAATGCAGGCAACAAAAGAACAACTGCCGTTTCTATGCGACGGCCGGTAAACACCCCAACTTTCAGTCTTCTTCCCAGTATGACTATGCCTGTCTCAGCGGTACCCCATATTAATTCAGCGACACGTGTGTGACGGTTTGGTGAACTGTATATTCTTGCTCTTCATGCTGACCAACAGAACATTAGCTCCTATCCCCACAGTGAAATTGCGGAAACGAAAGGGTTCGGGCTGGAATACCGAGGGGTCGGAGTTCGAGTCCCGGGAGGGTCAAGAGTTTATCTTCTCCACGTAGTCCAAACCTCTTATCCAATGGATACAGGGTGAACTTTCCACGAGGATAAAGTGGTCGGAGGGTGAAGATGACCATTCACCTCCAAATTGTGTCGAGGTCAACAAAATATGAACATACATACATCCACTCCCCCATTCACCTTCATGACGTAGTGCTTAAGCAGTTAAACATAGGGACAACTTTACTTACTTTGTAAGTGACTACAGACGGGATTTGGATTGGTGGTTGGATTTATTGACCACTTACAGATCGTAACTACAAGTAATTATAGCGCCATTACTGATCTTCACACTCTAGAAATCGACAGAGCACATGCTATGTCTTCTGAATCTGCTTTCACTAGTCGTTTCCTAGTAACGGATCTTAACAATGGATTTTTCAGCTTCTGTGCTCACGTCGCTGCCAGCTGGATAATACTACTCACAACTCACAACTTTGCTCCAATTGACTAACTCCCAGGCTGGCGACCATCTCACACCAACCTCTTAATCTTCTCTTCACTGACTGACTGAACTCTTCACTTCATTTCATTGCACTGCACTTTCTCACTAACTGTCCTGGTTATAACATCTCGGCACGGACCGCACAGACAACAACGTTACTCTGTCTGCTGTTCAATTGTTGTTTATTATGAATCTGCTGCCTAGCAGCCGGAGTTGTTCCGTTGTTTGTTTCCTGGCCGTTGCCTATCAACGGGTATATACGCCACAATTTGATGGGCTTTCCTAGCCGAAGCCAGCAATGTTACCTGTAGAGTTAACTTGCTCGAAGTTATGAGCAGTGCGGGGTCACTAACTTCGATAACTTAATGAACAGATTCCCCTAGCGTCTCTTCACGGGCAGGAATTTTATTTTATATATTTTAAGCGAACAAAGAGCCGAGAAATATCCTCTGATCTTCCTGTTTTCTATAGTCTAAAACTGGGTTTTCAGGAAGCCGTACTGTTGGAGTTTCCAACCCTCCAAAGCGGTCTTCAAGAAAGCGGAGTAAAGAATTTCTACTTGTTTAACGACGCTGCAGTAAGTGCAAGAGACATGAACAATATCATGATAAATATGAACATCATTATCTCCCTTCAGCAATTAATTACTGTTCATAAAAAATTGTGGTAGCAGCTGAGCTCTCTGCCAGTTGTCCAAATACTCAAGAATTTCCCAACAATTTTAAAAGCCGAAAGTTAATTACCGTGTCCACAAGAGCACTCCAATGATCCCCATCCTGAGCCAGATAAATCCAATTGATATCAACCCCATCCCATTTCCGTCAGATCAATTTTAATATCTACCCACCTACGTCTACGTCTTTATAGTGGTCTTTTCCTTTCTGGCTTTCAATCAAACTCTTACAAACATTCCTCTTGGCTCTTATTCGTGCTATATGACCTGCCCATCCCATCCTCGTTAATTTGACAATTCTAATTATACTTGGCGAAGAGTACAATTTATGAAACTCCTCACTATGCACGTCTATCCAACCTCTTGTTACTTCATCCCTCTTCGGTTCAAATATTCTCCTCAACAACCTGAGCCTATTTTTCTCCCTCAATGTCAGAGACTAAGTTGCACACCCACAAGGAACCACAAGCAAAATTATACTTTTGTATATTCAAATTTTTACATTTTTAGATTGCAGGCGAGAAGACAAAAGGTTGTGGACTGAATGGTAGCAAGCATTACCCGAATTCAATCTCCCCTTAAGTTTCTGCTATATCAGGTTTATATTTGTTACTGTCGTTCCCCAATATTTGAACTGTGCCACGTTTTCACAGCATCTGTTGGTTATATTCATGTCATGATTTTGCTCTATACTCTGGTAACGAGATACCAACTTATACTTGGTTTTCTCTGCGTTTAGTCCTAGACCAACCTCCTTACTAGTGTCAATTATAGTCTATGTGATTTCTTTATGGTATCTATATTATCACCAAGTAGATTCACATCATACGTAGAAGGTTACACGTTGTCTTTCTGTTTTCAGAAGTGTACATATGATTGCAGATTCATGGACATTTTAAGGGTACCCTTCCACATTATTTCCTATTGACCAGATGTTTTAATACATACTTTTAAACTCGATATGCTTTCGGGTAAAAATTACTATAACATTTTAAGCACGATTTCAAAAACGACGGTACAGTGAAGGGTGCATCAGTTATGATAGTTAAGCTATTACAAAACAGTTATATTTGCTACCAGACACTTCATAGCAAGACAGATTATGACCCCCTCACAATCTCCACCCTACAGGCAAAGGACAACAAACGAAAGAGTTGTACTATCGAACAATCCAATTCCTCTATACCTAGACCGTTTTGCAACTATTTCTTTCATCAGCGCCACACCCAGACTGGCCAAAGATACATGATGGTACACTACAAAATTCCGCCGCATGGAAAGCGGGTATAAAATGTGGCCATAATAAGTAAATATTCACGTATACATACACAAGTCCTTGCCCTCTGTTACATTAAGAATCGTATGTCCATCAGTAACGATAGAAAGGTTAAGGTATACAGTTGCTATAGGAATGTAAAAGGGACAAATAGGAACACTTAAAGATTTAATAATTTAACATGTTCCCTTTTCTAGCTACAACGTGCGAAAGCGCCAATTCATATAAAAATTCATGGCACGCTCGATGTTTTTGGCCTCGCACCAATTGCGGAACACTGCTCTAGACAACCAGAAATTTATATTTTCCTCTCCAACTTCTCTGACGTTGCCGAATGATTGGAGGAATGCAGGTTAGAGTGAGACGACACACTTCTGCACGATAAGAGAGGCGTTTCTATTGGTTAAGTGCTACAAAAACTCTCCTGTTATTGGACAAGACGTTTTCTCGCAACCAGTGTTGGCTGGGTCAAGACTTTCTCCTTGCTCGTAAACCAGAAATGAGGTAGGAAAGCCACACCAGAAGGTTATCTGTGCAGAAACATATGGCGCGTGCTGACTGAGTTACTGTGAAGTGAAGTTTGTTCAATATTAAGAAATGTTGTGAATATTGTGGCAAGTGATATGGGTTGAGAAGCAAGGTAACGGTGATTTCAACGCTGGATTAGAACGACACATAGTGTGAAGACGCTGTTAAAATGGGGCGGAGCTGTGAGTTCCTTTGGGGCATACTGCTTCTCCAGTTCTGTGGCGCAGGTAAGCAATGAAAGCACTGATGCCTACCAGTCTGCTAAGGTAAAAGGTAAAGATGTTCTTGTGCTTAATTAAGCATTTGGCATGAAGATATATGGGGGAGCACAGGTATAGCTCCACGTAATTTTAGCCAAGATGGAGGTCATGTTCACGCCCCGGCCGCTTTACCCTCGAGTAAAATGTTCCTTGTATCTATTGGATTGAGGCTGTGTGGACTTCATTGCCGTTAGAGATACTGTGAAGACGAGAAAATCTCTGCCACTAACAAGAATCAAACCCTGATTCCTGGGTCATGGACGTTTTAGTCAAGTCTCTCTTCAGACCAAGCTATCCTGGGTGCTGTTAAATCTCATATTCATTCGCATAATATATATGCTTATATTTTCTTGTGACATGTGTTAGATCCTCAAAGGGTGCACATTCTAAACCCTAAGTACTATCTAAGAAACTGCGGAAAACAGCGATATTGTGGCCTCAGACAGATATGTATTTCGCACCTTGCTAAGGAATGTGAAATTGGCAAAGAAATAAATTGGTTATACACATTAACCAAGTTGTATATTCAGTATGGAACAATTTATAATATGTTGAAGAGTACCGTCTTGACTACAGTTAAAGGTTTTGAGAATTTAAGCTATCTCAGAGATTGTGCAACGTTAACACACCAGACTCTATTAATGTGTAACATATGAAACGTACATATGCTTCTATGTCAGACTATGATAGAATCACGGCATATCTGAAGCAGAAACTTCGGTAATAGGCAGTGGTTACATTCACGTTCCATTTGCTTTATCACTATAAGAAGAAAAAGTTGTCCCTGTGCGCAACTCATTAAGCACTACACCATGAAGACCTATGAGGGAGTGGATGTAAAGATCCACATTTCCTTTGCCTCGGCACTAACTGGAAGTGAGTAGTCATCTTCACGCTCCGGCCGCTTTACTACCGGTACTCACTGTATAGGAGGTTGGATGAAGCCTAGAGCCGGCTTGGACGATATGGAGAACAGAAAATTCTTGACTCTACCGGGACTCGAACTCCGACACCTCAGTCGTCCAGCACGCAACAAGCCACTGTACCGAGTACGCTACCCCGGCGCCTGGTACTCATATCTGTTAGAGGCTGAGTCGACCCCAGGACCATAGTGATGCTGGAAGGATTAGGTAAATTGAAAAAAATCCACATCATCGGGATTCGAACCCGCAACCTTCCGGCTTGTAGCATAGAGCCCCTGCGTTACCGCGTGCCCCTCACTGTAGTTGTTACCTACTGGATACTTGGCTCCGTTGAACTTAGGTCCGTTTGATGGTAAAGAAAAAATGTCCATTCCAGGAATTGAACTTGTGTTGTCTATCCTATAGCCAGTATCTTCAACGTATCAGGTAAAAAGGATCGTTGAATTATAACAGAAGGAAGAATTTAAAGTCAAGTGGACATAAGAACTTAATTTTCCCCACAAATTGCCTTGTTATAATATCTTTCATAGGTCCAAATTTCCTTCCATAGAGTCACGCATTTGAAACTAGACTTGAAAAGCCTACAGAATGAACAATTCCTAATATCAGTTGAAAAAGTATGTTCATGCATTCTATCCTGCAGATGGAGGTAGTGCTTCGCCTCGTAACATAGGTAAATCAGACAACACAATATCATAACGCAAAATACCTCAGCAAGATGCAGTAATTTAATGTTTGTGTGTTGGCAGTATTGATGGGATCTCCCGAACAATAGCTTTAATGCAAATCACCAGTAACAAATTTTGTCAAAACCTATTCAGTTGGATCCTTTTTTTTTTCATGTGGATGACCAATGAGGATTTATTTAGAAATGATCTAAATAGCAGGTTTCAGGAGCTGACAGTTTGTGTGTTTATGCTACACTTTTCTTCTAAAGACCTGCTTGAATTGAACATTTTACAGCTTTCGTCATGTCCTCGAACATCTCGTCATGCACTGTTAAATTGTTCAACACTGCAGCCACCTGTACCGAATTCAGGACAATTCCGTCGACCATTCAAATGGTACACTGATTTCATTCTATTCTCGATCATGTGAAGAACGAAGAAAATTATGTAACAAATACCTCCATAACTTGTTGGATTTGAGGTTCTTACAGGTTGACTATGAAGAGATCTATCTTACGGGATATAACAACGTGTAGCCCGGCAAAATTCAACCGATACTTCGGAGGAATATATCGTCTCCATTTTCAGTATAGCCACTTGCTACATGGTTCATGATGGTTTCTTACTTTGTTTAATGTTCAACCTTGAAGATCGAGTAGACATACTGCTTCTTAAGGTCACCTGACTCACCAGACTACACAGCTTTATATCCCAGAAGAAAGAATTCCTCAAAGTAATCATTTATTTCCGTCACCTAGAATCATTAAATTCAGGAGCTGGGACAGGTGGAACATACAGCACGCTCCTTAGGAATACGGAATAGATGGGAAATGTTAATAGGAAAAGTTCGCCGGAAGAAATCGCTTTTAAGATCTAAGAGTGGGAGGGAGGATAGTATTAATATGAATGCTGGAAAAATAATCTGTCTATGTGAAGAAAACTCAGATGGGGAGAGAGCAAATGGTGTGCTGGAGAACTTTTCTATTTGCAGGTTCTAACTGCAGAAAAAGAAGTTCTACTAACATAAGACACTGTCTGTACCAGGTAGACAGTCAGCCATTTAGGACTCGAGTTAAGCATTGTATGTACTTGTTAAGGAAGTATGGTATAATGTAGAGACAAACCGTGAAGTTGTCGCTGTACCTAATTAAGTACCACGCCATGAACACATACGACGTGGAGGAAGCATAGTTCATTATTTTTAACACAGGTACCAGATGGACATGTCGGTCGGGTTCACGCCATTGCCGCTTTTCTTTGGCAGAAAGAGACCCAGACACTCGCTTAATAAAATAATATTAATAGGGAAAACTAAAATGTGAAGAATTTTTCTACTACGCTATATCACACCTAAACATCGATGAGTACGTATAACCACCCTAACACTGCCGCCATATTGCACATATGGGTGAGATAATTTATTCGTTGTTTTAAATTAAAACACGAAACTTTTGGGTTATATACACTATTTTGCGTATCAATTTGTGTTATGCATAATCTATTTCATTTAACAAACACGTGGTTTTCATAATAACAGTTGCTACACATCGCAGCATAATGATCACACTAAAACTAAACTTCCTGAAAGACAAAGCGGCCTCCGTAGTCTAGGGGTAACGTTCCCACCTCATGACTCAAGGTACGTGGGTTCAAACCCGGCGGAGGTCGTGGAATTTTTAACGGCGGAAAATTTCAGGGAACAAGTCCTCCGGGAGGGACTTTAAGCCGTGGGTCCCGTGTCGTAGATTTACGGCACGTAAAAAAACCTCATGTCTCTAGGAGACCTCTTAGCTAAATTAGGCAAATTTCCCGCCCAAGTAGTTTCCAATGCCTCCGGTAGATGGGGGAGCTTAGGTACCATTGCCAGAGGAGGGACGACCTCATTGCAGAAAGGGACTGACTATTAGATACTACTGCCAGTAGAAGGCCGAAACCTCGCTGGTAGAAGGGAACGATAGCAAGCACCAGTACCGGTAGGGTATGGAGACAGTAGAAATTCAAAGGGGGACGCACAATAGATCAAACTGGTCGCGCTGCATGGGGCAACCCACCCCCTAAATACTCAATACTCCTGAAAGACAATAAAACTTCAGACATAGAAACAACTTTACTGTGTAACGATATTTTAAAAGTGATGAGAAAAATGTCTTTATTTTCTCTAGTTTTGAAGTGTAAAGTTTCGAAGGTTTCCACTGTCTAAATAATCCTTTATCAGAACCAATGCAGCCATACCGTAATATGCACTTCTGAACACTGCATATTACTGAAGTGTATTAATGCAATCGTTGGCATTATTGTGATCAAATGCATCAGGACCCAGTCTAACAAACACTCTGTAAAGTTCTTGTAAAATTTTTCGTTATTAAGTAAACTTATTTCAGTTTTATATTGAATTTATAGTGTCAAAATTTTCATGACTAGCCCCTATTTTTGGTATGTCTTACTCAATTTCATATTACCATGACTCCTCAAGTTCCTGTATTTTAACCCAGGTTAACAGGACTTCCCCTCACTAAGAATCACTTACTTAATGTGCACATGAAGTCTGGCAGATCCTCTGAAATATCTGCCAGGACTTTAACAAGTTGCAGTTGCAACTCACTGATATCCTAACAACTCGATTATAAGAGCCAGTAAATTAACTTCATTTCTCCGGGAGCTGTGAAAGTAGCGTGACTCCGATGTAGGCCAGCCCAGTGACCCACAGTGATCTATGCAACTCGAGGCCCGCGACGTGTCAGTTTCTTCTTCCTTTGACGGATTGGTCTCGAAATGTCAAGGAATCGATTAGGTTACTTGAAAAAGTGAATCCCACTTAAGTGTTTGGTTTGGTTTAATTAATGACGTTCTGCTATATACGTAGGTTGTAGAGGGCTGAATGAGAAATGACAGTAGGCCTGTGAATAGCGAAAATCGTAATATATTGAAGGAATCACGAATATACGGTCACAATATTCGGTTACCAAACAGAGATTCGAACTGAATATAATATTTTTGGTGCTATGTATAGAAATATAGAATAGCTTTTCTCCTATTTATAACTTTCGAACTTACAGAACGATTTTAAGACACAAGGCTTGATAGTTATGCAACCAGGATACATTACACACAGTGTTCTATAATGTTTCCAAGAATATTCAGTGCAGTTAAGAAGGTCGCCATGGCGAACTAAAACTTCATGTAGCACCATGAGATTCTGTTGCCTTCAGAAGCCCTCCGCTGATTCCATTCATTTGCTGACTGGCCTGAAGACATGGGACGAACGGCGCCTGCCACGGGATATAAGTAGAGTTTAAAATTATAGGGAAAAGAGAGAAAACGTCTGACTATGTTCATACCGAGGTAAGTTAAGAGCAGTTTGAAACGACAGTAAATC